GAGAGAGATTTTTCAGGCCATGCATCCATGTTTGACCAGTGATAATGTTTCGTGTGTCAAAGTTTCCCTCTCCCTCTGCATACTTTTCCAGCTCAGTTAATCTTGGTGTCACAGACTTCTAGGAAAGATTTGGACAAAGTGTAATCTGCCTTCCTGTTACTGATTGTTACCAGTGGTTTACATATTGTTTCAAGCCCTCTGTGTGCCATGATGCTGGGTCTTAGCCCCAGGATTTTGAGCTTGTTCTTTCTCATACTTCTGAGTTGGTTATTTTGTAGTTCTTGGTTTCTTGTCTGATTATGTTACTTCCCTTTCAAACCCAGTGTGTCCCAGTCTTGTCTCTGTTTCGTCATCATCTCCTGTATAAGTCAGTCATGCCTCCATGTTTTGTTACTCTTTCTGCCTCCTCAGTCGTGTCACCATGCCTGTCTGCTCTCTCTGCTTCCTGTCTCCATGCTAGTCAGGGTTGCCTGTCTTGCCTACAGAGGTAGGAAGTAACAAAGTACAATTAATTCACATATCTAAACTTTACTTGAGCATTTTTTTCTGAATACATTTTACTTTTACTCTCTACATTTTTAAACAAACATCTGTACTTTCTACTCCTTACATTTTCAAAACATGCTCATTACTTTTGTGGGTCTGGGTGGAGTTATACCAGCTTGACACAATGAACCCGATGACCACAGCATTGTAGTTTGTCCTTAAATTTACAGTTTTAAAGGTGCAGCTTTCCAGCTGCTTCGTCTCTGCAGCACACACCGCTCTCCCCTCCTATCGTGGCAACATCCTTTAAAGAGGAAACATGACTAGATGATGAGGTCAGGTGTGTGAGTCAGCCTCCACCACACCCTAAACCCACTGAAGAAGGGAGTAATATTAGCACTCTGTCTCCCGTTTAGAATTGCCAGAGTCTATCCACTCTGTTGTACAGGCCCTGCTGACTTTGCTGGGCCTGAAGCAAATTTTCTCATGATAACCTTCCCAATGTGTAGCTTTAAAGTCTTATTCAGCCGCTCCACGACCCCCATCAGTCTGAGGGTGGTAGACACTGCTCCGAACAGATTTAATTCCCAGTAATTCACACAATTCTTTTAGTGTGCAAGACATGAAAGAATTGTCCTGGTCAGTCAGTATCTCTTTTGGGATGCTGACTCAGCAGATGACCTGAGAAAACCCCCAAAAGTTGACTCTGTTCATCTGGATGTTTTCAGTGGGAAAGAACCTGCAGTCAGCTGAGCCTGAAGAAGTCACCTGGATGAGTGACGAAACGTGTCTCCCACTGGAAACGTCCAGATGAACAGAATCAACTTTGGAGGTGCTACAATGGAAAATCTGCAGTGGAGTGAATAACTGGAGCTGGCGGGGCCTCATAAGAAGGCTGTGCCATATCGTCCTCCCCAGAGTGTCGGGCGACCCCATGTCTCTGCTGAGTGCAGCGCAGAAGCTGCACACCAGTCGGGAACACATCCCCAGCCAATCTGTCCAGAATATTAAGGGGTGTGTCAGGTGTGGGCTAACTGCAGCCTTTACTCTGTATGTTTTGCTCTTGTATTTAATTTGCAGCAGCACTTTGGGATATTTGTGTATTTCCCCATGCAAGCCTCCAATAATGCCCCGGGTCCAACCAGGGTTTGCATGCACCCCGTATCCACCAAGACCTGGCGTATATCGCCTCGGCACCTCACCGGTATGCTGTATGTGTCATGGGTGTATACAAGAAGGGAAACCCTTTCAAACGGGAAGAGCAGCAAAGGATGATCACGGCATGTGAAACCCAGTTAAAATAGTTAAAAAATAAATACACTTTAT